ATCCACGATAGCATACAGTGGCTTCCAAAAGAAAGTTAAAAAATGTATTCATCCAAATTCTTCTGTTTTAGTATAGCCTTGGACTACCCACTCATCCAGCATCACCATGGGTAGTTAGCGGGTACTCTGGTGTGGTTTGCTTCTTCTTTCCTATCAAACATCTGTATCTATCGTCCTTATCTTCCCTCCTTCTTTTTTGTGTTTGTTACTCTCTTGTAACATTTCCAATCTTCGGCACGACTTATGTGACCTTAGTGTGTTGCAAGTGCCGTAAAACACTTATACAAACAAAAAAAGCATAACAATTTAGAGCTAAATAAATTCTGCATCATCAATATTTCATCTACGAAAAGAGTCGCGCAATATAATATGGTCACTCAATATTAACCTTAAAAAATCAGACTTGGTAAAATTTTGTAAATTCAAATGAACTTAAAAATGTGTTTATGAGTGTGTTTGGGGTGTATTAACATTGGTGGAATGGACATGTATTGCATATCAAGTAAATAGACAATTTTGTTTCTGCAATAAACCAAATTTTATTACGATAAGTTCAAACAGATTAAGAGACAGTGCAGCCACAAACACCTCGTAAAACTAGGACTAAATATTTAATGTACTCATCACTCATCAGTATTTTGTACAGGAGCCATTGTTTTCACATAGAGCACAAACCCTTTGTGCATGGACTGTGTTAAATGTTAAGCATCACTGTCTGTCGTTTCATCCCAAATGTCACAGAGAATTGCAAACAAAGCGACTGAATTGGAAGCAAAGTCACATTTCTTCATATGCTGTTTCATGCTGATCCACGTATTTGTATGATTAATATCGGGTTTAGGTCTCTGGTGACCACTCCATCGCTGCTATGATTTTGGTTTCCAAGAATTGTATAGTGGCGTTGAGACGATGCGTTATGGGGTGCTACTGACTGAAGTGTCCCTGGGCTATTCCCAAGGGGGGACATTAACATGTTCTTAGGCTCTGTATAATTTACTATCGTTATTTTTCTCTACTTTTTCTCTACTTCTTTTGTATGTTTGTTACTCTCTTGTGACTCGCTATTTGCGGGGTGCCTTGACAGTCGAAGCAGACCTTGTGCTGTTGAAGCTAGAGAGGTGAGCAGAGTAAGTCTGATTCCCTGTATGGACTTCTCTGTTGACATCCACCCCTTGGCGCTCATATGACCATATGCAGTTGCGAGCGCCGTAAAACTCTACTAAAATTAAAATCCATTAAAAAATATCTGTTTAACGGACACCATGACAAGATAAGGGTAAAACGTGACGTCACAACACTTGCACGATGTAATACTTTAAACGACACCTTCCGATGAATCTCACGAGTGGGATTTTGTTCTTTCTAGCCGGACCACCCCAAGCCATGGTAGATTCGTGGCTTTTGTTCCTCATGACAGATCTTTATGTCCAAAGTCTAACTAACACAGTTCATGGTGTCATTCAAGTAGCTATTTTCATGGATGACAATGCACCTTTTCACCTAGGGCCAATGCCATTAGACAATTTTTGGAAACAAAAACAAGGTCTGTGCACTGCACAAAACCAATGGGCCCTAAACAAAATACTAATTTGTGCACATTTATTGTTATTTCAAGTTTTGCCTGGTGTTTGTGACTACTCTATTTTCTAATACGTTTGAAAATATCGTAATAAAATATTGTTAATTGCAGAGACAATTATATTATTATTCTCCATTCATATGGTATTTAATACACATCCATTCCACCAATGTTGATGTAACCCAGCACACATTTCAATGTATTTGATTTTACATGATTTTCCCAAGGCTAGTCTTTTTAAAGATCAGTTTGGAGTGACCATATCTCTGGCGACTTCTGTCGTAAATTTAATTATTAATTTGTCAGATTATGCTGAATTTATTTTGCTTTACATTAGTGCGCTGCTTAAGTGGTTAGTACTGAGCGAATGCATTTTCAAATTTCTTATGAACGTCAGTGCTTATCGAAGTTCATGTACTCTGTATGCAAAGTGCATGTACTCGTTCATAATTCAAGTATATAAAACATACAACGGTAACATTAAACCCCCCCCCCATCAAATT